GGTGGAGCAAAAAAGACATTCTTTTGCTCGACATTCAAGGCCAAGTAAGTTACAGTTTATTGAATTCTGATTGGACATTTTCACCACCATGTTCAACAACACATTGTACACTATCATGAAACTCCGCCACAGCCTTCTGGACGAACGCCATCGAGAGATTCTGCCACGCGACCGTGATTCGGTGCCTGAGTTCAGCGAGGTCGTTGATTTCTCCGCCACTGTAGACCACCCTGTTGAGCTCCGCCCGAACCCGGTAATCGAGGGGTTTAGGTCAGGTGACACACTTGGATATTCCGTCTTCTTCAGGTACTTACGCCCTTCGATTCCAAGTAGTCGGTAGTTTTTTTTGGTTAAATGTGCTGGCTCCCCTCCTGTAGCAGTACGAAGTTTCCAAGGCGGTACAGGCAACGACATGAAGGCAGGATATTCGATGTAACTTTCAGCGTTTACTTTCAGTCCGAGGTCCACGAAGGCAATATCGGTCTTCCCATTCCAGGAACTTCCGGTCCATACCATCAACCCGCGCCTTGGCGACTGCGGTGAAGATGATATCCTGGACCGTAGCGACGTTGTCGGAGCTGCTCGATGTTGGAGGTCTTCCAGATCAAGAGTGCCGGTCCCCAGGTAGCTGTCCATATGGGTGACTCGATACAAGAAGTTTCGCAGCTGTTTGGAGGTGACGTGAATTCCATAGGCCTTCTTCAGTTCGGCTGCGATTGAAGATGGCTTCATATTTTGGTGTACATGAAGGTGATGGGCGAGAGCCTGCTTCTGCTTATCGAGGAAGTGATAGGCGACAGCCTGCTTCTGCTTATCGAGGAATGCTTGGCTATTCCGATCTGGTACTCGTATCCACGCCTCGCTGGGCTGCGTATTCTTTACTGATATGTGCCTCGAGCTAAATGTCTATGTGCCTCGAGCTAAATGTCTTTTTTCCTCCATCCCCCCCCCCGTACATTCGTCAAAAAAGGAAAGTGCATTTATCGAAGAACACAGAATTGTGAACCACGTAGAAGAATGATGTCATACAGAAACAATGCATTACTAGTTACTGATCCGATCCAACTGCAA